CCACACACGTGTGCATATATGCATAATACACAAACATAGACGGGGTAATCACAGAGTACGTTTTGTGCGACCGTTGTAACACAGAACTCATGAAAATGGTTATCGAGTTGTCCGTAAGAGGGGTCTTTATAAAAGTAGATAAGAAGGAACTTATCTGGCAGCATCGCTCTGTGAGAAGTGGTGCTTTAGCTATCAATGTTTTGGACGGGATCCATCAATACTGAGCACTGAATCCGTAAGTGTGAGACACTGAGCGGCAAAAAATTTAACCTTTTTAGCAAACTCAACTTGTTTCATGCGCAGCAATTATAAATTAAGCGCTTTTTTAATGTGCAGGCGAAAATTGGAACGATCGCGAGCAAACCAGGATACGGCGAGGCGGCCGACAGGAAAGGAGGACGCCGGTGGGGTCGACAGTGCTAGTGGCGCGTCCGCAGAAGATGCCGGCTCTTCGGATAATACAGGAAGCAGCAGTAGTAGAAGCGACTCGGGAAGGAGTAGCGGTAGCGAAAAAATCCCTGACCGAATGAAAGGCACGCAGGTGGGCCGCGCACTCCGCTCACGCTTGTCGACGCAAAAAACCAGCGGGCCACAGCGCTCACGTAATATCGGCCTGCGTAGGGCATCCGGTACCCGTGTTTTAGCGCATAAACACAGTCACGGTGTTCGCGATTTGAGTGGTGATAGCAGCAGTGGCAACGATAATGCCAATAACGACAGTGACGATAATGAAACGAATGAAGGTGGAAGGAAGAGGACCAGGATTTGCCGTTTCAGGCAGCCTCCACCAGTTTCGCGTCTCATTGCGAAGAAAATTCTCACGAAATCGATTGCACGAACACGTAAACAGCGCTGTTCGTCAGCACTTGTACTGAAAGAAAATGTCACGGGACGAGTCACAAGACGTAGGGCAGATGGTGTTAGCGGCAGTAATAATGATGCCGTCAGTGATAACAGTCGTTATGATGATAAGGTTGATTCTGGGGACAGTGGTAGCGGCAAATCTGGTGAAAATGTTCAAGCGCCAGTGAGAGGGAAAATTCGTGGACGAAAAAGGCATTGCAGTACTACTGATGCTGGTGATGAGAAAATGGCGGTGAATCAGAAAAGGATGGACTTAACGGATTCCAATAGCGCCGAGAACAGGAAAGTTGCAAGAAAACGACAAAGCGTCCCTGAGAAGGACAACGAACCAGCGTTAAAGAAACGTCAGAGGGAAACGGATGATCCAAAGAAGGTGCGTTGTTATCGCATTTAAATAACTCATCACAATCAGTAGCGGACTTCTCAGGTAGTTTTCCTTAATAAGCGAATGAAAGGGCTTCGACGGGATGGGGCACTGAGAAGTAAACAGCTTGTGTTGAATGATAGTTCGAGCGGTCTCGGTTATTCCCACGTGAACGGTCCAGGATTGGTTTCAGTCTCTTTTATAGCTCGTAGTGAGAGCAAAAGGGATGGGACGCCACGTGCGAGACTTAAGTCGGAC